AAATGTCTCTGCTGTCTGTTCTCACTTCTGTAAGTGATGGCACATGCAACAGAGTCCGCAGACTGCAGCCACATTTATCTGTGCAATGAAGATGAGAAGGAGGGCTTTGCAGCTCTCCTGCAGAAAAAAGAAGCAACATTTACAAGATGTCAACCTTTAGCTTCCTTATTGTCCCCAGCAGCCTCGGGCAGGCTAGGGGATGAGGCAGTAGGTACTTGTGGAGGAGTGTGCATACAAGTGTTCTAGAGGAAGCCTGCTGGCCGTGACCCTCGGGTGCTGGTGCACACAATAGTTCCTAGGTTGTCCCCCTCTCTGGCCAGTTAGAGTGGGCACTGGCTCACAGGGCTGGGGTTTTGGCCTTCAGACTGGGAAGTGTGCCTTCCCTGGAGCAGGTGAGGTGCCCTAAAGGGACACCTGCCCACAGAACTCACTGCCCAGGGCTTCTCTCTGGTACAAGGGATCCCCAGTGGTCTAAGGTATGGGTGCAGCTGCTCAGGTGAGAACCCCATGTATCAAAAGGCCAGCACCCTCCTCATGTAGCCATCCTGGTGCATAGGAGCAGGTGGTAACTGCATGGCACCCAGCCTCCTGCCAGCCTTTAGTTTCCCCTCAGTAGGGTGTCGCCTGAGCTTTCTGCCAGCAGGTTCTTTAGCTCTTCGTGAATGGCCAGCTGAATTCTTTCTGATGTGTTTGAGTCTGGAAATGTCTAGTGATTCTAGTAATGGACAGGCTAGCTGTGGAACTGTGCTGTGCTGGTACGGAGACCTTCAAAGAATATGTTATTGGGAGTCATCGAAGCAGCCAGGCGTCTTTCCCCATGCCTGCTGGACGGCCTGCCAGACTCACCCACCAAAGTGAACCAAATCTGCAGGCTTAAAATCACAACCCCTTCCCTGCAACCTGTTAGCCCCAGGGAAGGCCGTTTGATGCTTCCAGGGCCCTACTCCACACACCTCTTGAATTCACCCTGCGGTCAGTCTCCTCTGCTTCTCCCCCTACCAGCCCCCTCCGCCTCTGCCCTTTTAGAGCCAAACTGCCTATAGGGTCTCCATTCCCCCTATGCAGTGTCCCTCTGTACTGAAGCCCCAGGATCTGCCTCACCTAGACTCAGTGTATAAGTGAGGGAGTGTATAGGGTGATCCAATCAGTGCTGTTGGTTTAATTAGAGTACCAGCAGTCACGTCCCACCCCTCCTTTCCCCCAGCTCAGAATGTCCACTTAGAATGGGAGTTCTTGGGGAATCGCACGGTAAGCTTCTTATGATCTAGACCTGCACCCTGATTGGTAAGCTAGTTGGCTGAACAGTCTGAGCGCCTTCTGTTTTGAGTGGGTGGTCATGCAGCACTCACAGTGGGAAGAAAGTGTAGCATCTGTCATGGCTTCCTTCTCTCAGCCTCTGACCTGGGAGGTCCCCTCCCAGCCACCTGCGCCGCACCCATGAGATCTGCAAAAGTTCTGCTTTGCCCCTGCCGGCTTTCATGAGTTACACGTTCCTGAAAACAGTTGACATGTGCTGAGGGGCCTGGGTTTGTTTGGGGTTCAAGGAGTCCTGCAGCCTCCAATCTTCACTCGCAGCCACCTTCACAGGAAGTAGGGTTAGACATGGTGGAACTTGAGTTGGAAATGTAGGCCATATTGTGACAGCACCAAGATGCTCCCAGCACGAGATGCTGCTGTCTCAGAGGCATTTGCTTCCTGTGAGCCCCGCTCCAGCAAGGTGGCCCTATGTTCCGTGCAATAGATGCGCCCCTTGAGAGGGTTCGTAAATGAAATCTGTGTAGCTAAATTCATTTATTAAATGCACACAAGGAGCTATTATTTTACTTTACTGGTTCTTCTATAATTAGAAAATGACTCCCAATTTCATTAAAGGAGCATAATGCCTCTATATTGGGTCTTGTTTAAACGAGGTAATCTTGATAAGAAACAGACAAAATTACCAATCAGCTTCTACTCAGTAGCTACAGCTTAATTATACCATGTTTCCTCCCAGAGGAACTGCAGAGTTTGTAAAGCTGCCTTTCCCGCCGGTGCTCAAAATTTGTGGCCAGGAAAGTCGGTCTGTTATTAGAGACACTCCTTGTTTCTCACTGGTAGGAGAGCCTTCACCCTCTCCTGCCACCTTCTCTCGGAGAAACACAAGGGATGCCAGCAAGAGCTGGGGTGACGGGTGATGCCCTGCCGTTTCTCAGCCCAAAGCTCCGTGACCTGTGTGTTCATGTGTCTGCTGCTGGGTCACCACTCCTCACATGGCCTGGTTTAAAACACTCATTCTTGTCTTATGGCCGTATCTCAGCTGGTGTATATGGGTGGTTTCTAAGCCTGTGCTCACCCGAAGGCCCGACTGGGGCTGATGGACATAACTGGTGACTGTGCCTGTGGCTGTGGCTTTCAGATGAGACCTGGACAGGGGACCAGAGCACTCATAAGACCTCTTGTGTTGGTCAGTCTCCCCCAAACTGGTCAGATTTCAAGATAGAGACTTCCAGGAATGAATATTCTGAGAAACCTGGGCTGTTAGCTTACTGTGACCTTGCCTCAAAATCCAAGAATGTCATTTTTACCAAACTGTGTTGATTAAATGACCAAGTTTAGCCCTGATTCGCCTCCTCGAGTGAGCTACAACTGTAACCACACTGTCAGAAGGAACGGATGTTTCTTCAGAGGAGACACATTCACCAGAAGAGCCAGATTAAACAGATACGAAGGCATATGAGTCGTGGTGGACAGTGTGGGAAGGCTATGGGCTATAGGTACAGGTAAATTCCCAGAATGCAGTGCTGGAGAGCACCATGGAGAGAGCCTGTTTCCAGGGCAACCAGGTAGCTTCCCACAAAGCTACCTGTTGGCCCTACCCCTGCCTTAACCACTCATATCACAGACAACAAAAATTAGAACTTGGCAAGGGGGTCTAAACAGCATACACGTTTACCTGGGCTTACTTGGAAGTTTACCCTATGGATGTACTATTTACGCCGAACCTTTAAACCCACTTTCATATTGAAACAGCAGTATGAAACACCTTCATATTGAAATGTGTAGAGAACCATGAAGTAGCATCCCTAAGCCATGCACGATCTGCTTGATTTAGAAGGGATAGAAGTATTGACTGTCATTTTAGAGGTGCTTAGAGAAGACTGTGGAGTATCTTAGAGACTTCACATAGACACTTGGTACTATAGAAAATGTTCATCAGCCCAAGCGCTTCAGGTTGTAACTTCTTCCTTTGAAAACAGCTGCTGGTTGAGCATCAAGGGTGCCTGGGTCTGGGGAGCCTGGCCAGCCATTTCTTGTTCTCTCCTTCCTCCTGTGCATTCCTCTCTAGCTCCCTGGGAATTCATGCTTGTGATTATCTGCCCTGAAAACTTATAAGCAAGAAGAACAATCCAGCCGAGTAGCTGGAGACTATGCCAGGAATAAATTCAGCTTTGCAATAGAAATGGGCTAAAACATTCATAGTTCTGAAAAGTGGAGAGACTATCTCTGAGTTAGAGGAGGTGGATCAGCATATGGTGATGAAGGTTATTATTACTTGTCTTAATTTGGGGCTTCCTTGACAAAATGCCGTGGACAGTTTTGGCATATAGGCAATAGGATTTTCTTACAGTCTTGGAAGGTCAGAAGTTCAGCATGGTTAGGTTCTTCTGAGGTTCTTCTCGAGCTGCAGACTGCCCACTTCTTATGGTATCTTCAAAAGTAAGGAATAGCTTGAGAGAATTTTCTGGGGCCGTTTTATGAAGGTGTAATGGGGTTAAACATGAAAGTAAGTCATAAACCCTTATCTATACCAGTTATATCCCAAAGGCTCCCCTGCCACGCTATTACATAGGGGCTTTGTGTTTAACATACAGATCTGGGATATAAACATTAATTTTACAGTATTGTATCGATTTGCTGAATGTGCTTATAAGATACCAGAGACAGAAGATGCTAGAGATGCAATTGCCTGCATTGTATACCACTGGGAGGGTATTTAGCAAGGGTAAAAAACACATTCCAGGAGGTATGGGGGAGAGGTAGGATTCATTATACAAATTAACCTTTAAAGCAGGGACAAGTATGGGAAGGGCTACACCCCATACTTGACTGCTTCTAGGTAGTCTCAGCTAGATGCAGCTTCCCCTGTTCTTTGGCTCCTGAGAAAGCCCACACACAAATACACACTCCATTGTAAGAATATCTATTCGTCTCAGACACACAGAGGCAGAGCCATGACCCGCTTCTGCCCTCATTTCCTCTCTGCCTATCAGTACCAACCATGCTCCTACTATGTTGTGTGACATTCTGGGGAAATATGAATACATGCCTATTTCCCTCAGAGCAGGAACTGAAGGCAGACCAAAGTAATGATCCTTCTGAATTCCAACGTGTTACATAAATCTGCTGCAGATATCACAAGAGTATAAGTGAAAAATACTTACATAAACATGTATAGCTCATTACTACCAAAGCCAACAAGGGGTGACAGATAATGAGAGTGGCCTCCCCGGGGAGTTCTGCTTCACTTCCAGGCAGCTTTCAGGCTGGAGAGCCCCCTCTTCTTGACAGTCCTTACTGCTTATATAAACCTGAGGAGGGAGGAGACTCATGAATCTGCTCCATTTCAGGGACTTCCTGAGACTTGTGAGTTTAAGACTTCCCCAGTCTTAGGGAGCTTTCCCTCCAAGATAGAATATTTCAGTTCAGAAGAAATTGTTACACAACAGATAAAGCATCATGTTCTGAGGGGAACAGGGCACACAACAAGCCACAAAGGAATTGCAGGTTATGGGTGCTGTTGTGGAGAAAATGGGCTTTGGTAAAGAATAATGGGATAGGTGATGACTTTCTAGGCTGAGCAGCAGCATCCTTGCCACAGGGTAATATTATCATAATTAAGTATGCACCACCTTAAAGGCTCTTGAACTGCATGCTACTATGGTTCAAATTATGACTTTTTTTTCCCTCCTCTGAGCCCAACCTGCAGGCTGCCAGTGCTCATGACAACTCTCTCTCCTCAGGGAAAGGAGATGTGTTTGGAGATGTGTTCTGGAAGGAAGCCACACTTGCACAGTCCTGTGCTAATGTCAGGGCCTTGACCTACTGTGACCTACATGTGATCAAGAGGGACGCCCTTCAGAAAGTGCTAGAATTCTATACAGCCTTCTCCCACTCCTTCTCCCGGAACCTGATTCTCACCTACAACCTGCGGAAGAGGGTAAGCTGGTGGCTTTGATTCCTTCTGTACGTCTCCCTGTGCACTTTGGATAATTGCTGGGGCTGTGGTAAATCCTTTTGCTGTTTCTTTACTAGCAGAAGGGTGTTCTGAGCCAACCCTGCCTGCTGCTTGCTCTGTTGAGTTTTGCTGTACCACGGTGAGAAGAGCAAAGCAAGCATGTTGGGCTGGAAGATGGATCAGCCTTGGGCTCTGCTGTGTCTGTCTGTGGGCTGGGTAGTTCCTAGAGGCATCCGGGCCTTCCAGTATTGTGAATAGATGGGTAAAAGTGGCTTCTCATCAATAGAAAGGCCTCATGGAGCCACCTGAGTAATGTCCACTGTCCATTCCATCCCCAGTGACTGGGACCTGCAGAGTAGGGGTAAAACCACTACTTGGCGGGCAGGTAATGATGCTTTATGGGAAAGATATCAAAGTGTGTTAGCTGAGTTAGGCAAAGAAAGCCATGGAATTTGATTGTCTGGAGGAAGTTTCATCTCCAGCCGTCTTCTGAGAAATGGGTAGCTTCAAGAGAGGAAAATGTCTTCCCTAAAGTCAACTGAGTTTCGCCTTCTCTCTCCCTCCCTCCGTCCCTCCCTACCTGCCTCCCTCCCTCCCTCCCTTCTCTGTGTGTGTATTCTCCTTGACTTCTATAGTTTTTCATGATAAACTTTTCTTCTTAAGATAAGATCTTGCCATTCAGCCCTCAAATTGTCAATACCCCTGCCTCAGCCTCCCAAGATCATACCCGCCTTTGTGACTGACTTTCTTGTACATCATCCGTCACCATTGGTAAACTCTAGCATGGTCACTCCTGACCAAGAGGGATCATCAGTCAGAAGATGTTTCCCATAGTGACGTCATATCCACCCCACTGACCAGCCCCTCACAGTCCTGGACCCTGGCTCTAGTTACAGGTCTGGTTTATGCTGAACTTTCTCATGACCAACATTGATCTTTTCCCTCTGCCATATCTCAGATTGGTCTTCGAGCTCTGTTGTTTTTGCCTCAGCTTTCCAGTATGAATTCATGTTTTATTTCCTTTCTTGTGATCATGGCAGAACTTCAAGACCAACCTGGAGTTCTTGGGACACTGGGCGCGGGGGGGGGGGGTTGTCAGGGCCTTGTGGAATTCTTGGGTAATCTCATAGAGCCTTGAGGGCACAAAGCTCCTCACTAGGGCCTCTCCCAGTGCAGCATTTAATGTCAAGGGGAAAGATGGGCCTCTGGGCCTCTCCTTCCCCACCATGAATACGAGGTGGTGGAGAGAAGCCTGCCCACCCATCCTCCAGGGTAGGCTGAGAACTGCTAGAGAAGTGTCCCTAACTTGTCTGCTGGCTAACTTGGGATGCTTGATGGAGATACTTTTAGCCAAGTGGATTCTCCTAAAATCTATTTTTTGGTTTATTCCTCCTTTCTGTGAAAGCCAGTTGATTATAATCAGCTTTCAGTGTTGCTGTGTGATATGGGTAGAAAAATATGAGATTTGAGTTATTTGGAGGAGTAATAATTTTAGAATAATTATAGATCAAATAAATCTGTCTTAAAAATAACAGCCAAAACCAGTGCTGTCTCGGTGGTCAGATTATTTTTATACATATAGAATGATTGACAGCTCTGGAGAAGAGGAGGAACCAAAGCTGTGGACAGTCTAGAAGCATCCTTGTAAGTGTCAGGTCCCCAGAGAAGAGAAGATGGTGCTTTTTTTGTGTAGCCTTAGGGTGTTTAGGGTCTCTTAATTCCCCGCTGAGGAGCATCATGGGAGGAACTCAAGCGTCTCATGAAAACTCAAGCTGCTTGGCCTGTGAACTTCCCTCCCAACCCAAGACCCTCTAAGTCTGGTATTGAGCCAAAGGAATTTCAGTGACAGCTTTATGTAAAGAGCCATTCTTTTCTTGGAAAAGGAGACTCGTCATTTTGGCGCGACCATTGTCATCTCCCATTGTGTCCTTCTGCGAATTAATTCATGGTTGCATAGGGCACCGACGATGAGAACATAGCATGCATGAATTATTCTCCTTGTTTTATTTTTTTTTCATGATGAAGTAAAGTTATTCTTGTGGCTGTTTCTAGCTTGGCAAAAGCCAAGTGAATTATTTGCTAAGAGTTCTGGGGACACTGTGCCATCTCAGCATCTGTCTGGGGAGTTGTCTCATCTCAAAGCCTTCCTCCAGCACACAGCAAAAACTCTGAGCCAGAATGTGCCTCAGTGGCCAGCCCATCTCTCTATCTTGTCCCCACCATCTTCATACATTTTACAGAAATAGGACATTTTACAGAAATGCCAGAGTGTTGGCTGGAAATGAAAGAATTAGAACCCACCAGAAACATCTTGAAGCATCCTGGCTTCCTCTGGCCTCCATATTCCAAGATTCAGACCTTTACTCCTAAGCCCAGCTGGATAAGCATTCCCCAGGTGTCAGCACTGTTTAAGAGTCTAGCCCAGGAAGGGACTGGTCATGTTGTCCTGTCCTACAAAGCCGTTGTAAGGTAAATACAGAGCCAGGCTCAGAGACAGCATGGGACCTTCTGTCTTTCTTGCTGTGAGTCTCAAAACAAATGGCATTGGTTTGGATCCTGCCTCTCCTGTTTAATTCTTCTCCAGTTCTGCACAAGTAAGAAGGCCTCCTCATCTGGAGAAAATGGAGTGGGGGCTCCTGCTGGGTGGGCACAGGAGGGGCTCGGTGAAGTTCATCTTTACTCTGTTTCCTCTTCGGTAATATCCCATGCACTATAACCTTGTGCCTTTTCACAGAGGGGACCTTCTGCCCATGCTCGGAATTTCTGCTCTGCAGAACTCACTGTAGCAGCCAAGCTATGTGGAGCCTGCAGGTCTATCAGCAGGGAGCCAGGAGAGTCTGGTTTCCTTTGAGGGGAGCAGCCTAGGGGGAGTCATGAAGGGAAGAGAGTGGAACCATCATGCCAAAGCCTGGCTAGCGTGCTTGCTGGCTCTGCAAGCATCCTCCCGCAGGCACGAGTAAGACAGCATCAACCCCAGGAGGGTGCCCCAGTGGTGAATTATGTCAGCTCTGAAATCCACAGAGCAGCCTGTGGCATTACCAGGTTGTTGCCTTTTCTCAAGGGAGTCAACCAGGAGGCTGTGCAGAAGAGAATCCCTTTTCCAAGATCACCCAGATATTGACTGACAGAATCTGAACCTGGCCGTACACTTGTGACTAATGGTGGGGTGCTCCTTGGTGGTCCAGCCCAGGGGAGTGGTACCCAGCCTTTCCCACTGTGATATTCTTTAGCTTTCTTTGGGTTTGTTGGCTCAGGGGATAGTCTGGCTGTCTCCTAAGCATCTCCAATGACTTTTGCTTACACCAATGGATTCAGAAGCAGTGAAGCGTACCAGACCCCAGACTAGCAGTGGGGCACCAGAAATGCACATGGAGAGTTCTGGTCTAGCTCACATGCTGGGGAGCAGCCTGACTGACCTTGTTTAGAAAGGAGCTGCTTTGGGGCTAAGCTTCTATTTGAATGCAGAGTTGTTGCTGACTAGCTGGGCACTCTTGGACAACTAAGCCCTTGCTCCTTCATTTATAAAAATAAGCTAATATCTAGTGTGTAGTAGCTCACATCTGTAATTCTAGCACTTGGGAAGGAGGCTAAGACAGGAGGATTGCTGCTGGTTCAAGGCTAGCCTGGGTGTAGCTGGGTGGGCTACAGTGGGAGACCTCGTCTCAGACAAAACAACAGCAACTAGCAGAAGCCAGCACAATGGTCCTCTGGTTAATGCTATTGCTAATTTTGTGCATTTTAAACAAAGTGTAACACAGCAGAGCAAAGCTGGGCATGGTGGCATATGCTGAGAATTACAGGAGGATTGCAAATTCAAGGGCAAACTGGAATAGAGACTGAGTTTGAAGCCAGCCTGGGCAATTTAGTGAGACCCCGTCTCAAAACCCAACACAGTCAAAGTAACCCATCCCTGTGGGAAGCCCCTGTCCATATTAGTCCCTTTTACTGCCCTGCTGTCCACCCCTACCTCCACTTCCAGGCCTGAAGAGTTGAAGTCATGCTTGGTCCCCTTGTGTTAGGAGCAGATCTGTTTCTTTGGTTAATGATTTCCGTAGGCTTCACTTTCCAGTGAGTGGGGAAGAGGTGTCACCTCTTGGGGCTCAGGGATCGATCATTATGAAAGTAGATCAAATGTACCACAACTCAAGGATGCCAGCATATAAGCAATTAGATAATTACCAGCAGCCAGTGCCAGGGATAATTGGCATGCAGGTAGTTGGATGGGCGCTTCTCATCCTCAGAGTGTAGGGCTTTCTTTTCAAAGCCAGTATTGTTGTGTATGTGAATATTTTTGCATTGTTTGCTTATGGTAATTTATTCCAGGAGGGATTTTTTAAAATCATAATTAGGGCTCAACCTGGTATATCTTGGAGGGAGCTGATAACCCCAGTCACCAGTACTTTCAAAATAGGGGCTTTCTAAAGCAGAGGTTGCCATGGTGAACGATCTTGAATGCCATGTGTACACTTCTCCCACTTTAACCAAAGGACATTTTCTTCCGCAGAAGAAGAGCTCAGAACCTGAGAGGTTTGTAGAGAGCCCTACTCATAGGTGGTGTTGGGGAGTCCTCTGTCTTCTTCCTTCTTCTTGAGGAATGTTGGTAAACTAAGAAGAAAGACTATAAAGCCAGGTGCTTAGAAGTAGCACGCATTTTCCTGTTGAGCGCTGGTGTGTCCTAGCCTGAGTTTTTAAGTGATCTCTGCATAGCCAATACTTTCCTTGTCATCCTGCCATAGCAAAGGCTTCTGTGAAATTAAAATCATCTATTTGACTGTCAAGCCAGAGGGATAATAAAATCATGGTGCCGGAATTAGAGGTGGCGAAAGGGGATGGGGGATGTGACTGACACCACTATAATCTTTGTGAAACAACAGAGTATGAATCAAAAGCCGCCTCCCGCCTCCTCGGCAGGATCGGGAGTTGGTGCTGGGGACCTGTGCAGTCTTTCACGGGTCTTGCTCTTGCTTGGACCCCAGCAAACA